TTCCGAACCTGCGATGTACTCGATGGAGTAGGAGCCAAGCTAAACCCCTTGTGAATTCGGGAAGCAAACGGTTTCGTCCATTTTTTTTATTTCCCCCCACCTTTGCTTTCTCAGACTGCAGTTGTAACGGTTCCATGAGCTTTAGAGGACCACCTCGCAGAATCCCCCTCTCGGTATCCAATCGAGGCAATAAGCCTAGCCTTTTTCAACCTTTACTTTGTCAGTAATGTGTGGCAGTGTCGACTGTAGAGGCCGTAACTTTTCTTCCAGCCTACTACTTTAGTTGGTTGCTTCCATTCTCTTCATTTGGTCACAGACAGGTTGATTTTGTGGTGCGAGTGGTTGTAAAGTCCGGTGGCTGCTGGTGGGGGCGTGTGTCAGCGTGTTACGGAAGCAGGGACGGAGGGAAGGATCTGCTTGGCTGTTGGCTCTTGTTAACATAAATGAAAGTGCACTAATGGCTCACAACACTACTGAAATTAGTTGTGTTGAGAGAGAAGGACCTTGATGAGAGGGAAAGGTTTTAAGCTTTATGAACTTGACTTGATAAATTATTTGGCATCCATAAACTGCAAATGTGTTGCGGTGCGCTTCGGCCGGACCTGGACTGAGTACAATCATGGCTGTAACTGATTTTGTCTCAAAAAGGTCGGGTTACACTATTAAGTGAAAAATGGTCTTATGAGTGTTCTCGGGAAGAAAATAAAAAAGACACAATGAGTATGCTTAAAGTAATAGTTGGGGGACCTGTAGTGAAATGTTATATTTAGTGACCTTCCTATAAGAAAGTGTACTTGAGTTTTTCCCATCACTATTTTTGCTCTGGTCTCTGTGTGAATGCAGGTAACACACTAGTCAAATATCTGTGCTATCAAGTGGACTTTGTGATTTTCACAGGAAAAATCTAACTGTCTCTCACAGATATCCAACCTACCATGTTAAAACCTTAAATTGTTCGGCTGGTCAGCTTGGTTATTGTACTGAACTCAGCATCCTTTTTTTTAACATTTCTGCATTGCTACATCTTCGTTCTGGACTTCTAATCATGCTTTCAAATGCATTATTTTGTTTTCACTAGTTTTGTCATTTCATTTCAAATCCTGGACTCTGTATTTGTTCTTCTTTATTTTTAAATGTAAATCTGACCCCCCTTTTTCCTGTTCTGTGTTGCTTACAGTTGAGGTGAAGAAACAAAGTTCATGTGTTGTCCACCTAATCAACAAGTCCAACGAGTATGTTGCTTTCAAGGTTTGTCAACAACTTTGACTTAGCATCTTAAACAAGTCCTATTTTCTACTCAAGTCTTTCTCCAATCATGCTAATGGCTCATTGTGATGTCTAGACATTGAAATATTGAATATCCAATTATCCATTCCTTTTTCCTCAAATTGGCTAGGTTAAAACAACATCTCCTAAAAGATACTGTGTTCGACCAAATACCGGAGTTATCCTTCCGAGGAAAACATGTGAATTCACAGGTATGCATCTACGCTCACTGTCATTGATAATGGTTGTGTTTATTGAAGTAGAACCATGTTGGTAGTACTCTGATATCATTTGAACCTACTTCTAAGAATTGTGCTTACTTGGGGGTTAGAAGTTAAAAGAGACATGTCATAGCCATCTTGTCCGATGTCATTTTGGCGAGTCAGTTTGGGTTTTCAAGGCAACATTTTCCACCAAATTTCACTATGTGGTTACTGGTATTGGCGTTTGAGAGGTGGAAGCACAATAATATTGTCAAGTAAAAAAAAAGGCAATTCAGTAATTCTTAACATCCTCGTGGAGTCCTGGTTCGGTATCAGTGTGCATGAAGCTAAAGTGATAAGTTTCAGACCGGAGGTAGTAATTCTGACTCTTGTTTGATGTGGCATTACAAGTGGATTCCTTCTTTACTTTCACTGCCCATTAAATAAACACTTGTGCTTGCTATTGGTACAAGGGCAATAGTTATTAAACTTTTCTGTCTTTTGTATACCTTGTCAGTTTTCTTTCTTATATTGGCTACATTATTCTTTCCTCTTATTCTATTTGTGCTTGTTTTTTACTTATATATGTAGTTACCATGCAAGCACTCCGAACTGCTCCACCAGACATGCAATTAAAAGACAAGTTTTTGGTACAGACCACAGTTGTTCCTTATGGTACATCTGACGAGGAACTCGTTCCTGCTTTTGTAAGCACCTAGATATAACCTTCAGTTGCATAGTGTTCTTTTCATGTCATTTGTTGTAACTGTGATGCTCACTAATTCTTTCTTATCAGTTCTCCAAAGAAACTGGCAGATACATTGAGGAAAGCAAATTAAGAGTTGTTCTTGTTAGTGCATACCAATCCCTCGAAGAGCAACCGACTAATGGAATTCATGACACTGAGCCAGCTGTTGGAATTCCTGTACTGAAAGAGATGCCAAATATAGAGAACGAAGTGCCAGATGTTGCAAAAGAAGTTCCTGCCCCTCTGGCACAAGCTCCAGCAATTGTGACTGGAATACCTTCACCTGTCGAAGAGACTCCAGGCCTGAGAGAAATTCCTGTGCCACTGAATGAAGCACCAGCTGTATTGGCAGAATCTCCTTCCGCTCAAAAAGACCCCTCTGCTATTACAGTTGAACATGCCCCTACTGTTACAATTGAACATGCCCCTGCTATTTCCATTGAATCCCCTCCTTCGAAACAAAGTGTTGCACTTTTTAAGGAATCTCCTCCTCCTTTGAAACAAAGCATTGCAGTTTTTAAGGAATCTCCTCCACTGGCGGAAACTACTCCTAAAGAAGCTGTTATGCTAAGTGGCCGAGGACTTTTCAATGTGCAGAACCATCAATTATCTCATGTAAGCTTCCATTATCTAGTACACCATATGCCCATTTTCCTCAGTTTAGCTTAATATAAGCGAATGGTCAGTAGAGCTGTTAAACATGTTTTTGATACACTAGTCACAACCCAGCTTCTAGCCCAACAGAGTCACATACACCCCAAGCAGAACCAAGCCTTAATACTGGTTAGATTTTGGCAAAAAACCACCTGTTTTCTACTGAATCTTTATTTAAAAATACAGTTATGAAATACAATGGTTTAGAGTTACTTAGAAAACTGGATTGAACTTTGAATTGTGGCCCTCATCTTGGCTCTACAGTTCTGATTTATTTCTTTCACAGAATCACAGCCTTCAAGTCAACATATATACATAAAACTCCCAACTTGCATGGGGATGTTTTGTTGTTTTTCTTTTCGTACAGCAATGTATTCACTTTCTCCTTTTACATATGTACCAGGTAACAGAAGATGTTCAGAATATGAAGTCAAAGCTCAACAATCTTGAATCAAAATTGGAAGAGGTAAGCTGAACACCATGGGATACTTTCCATTACTTAAACAAGTATCAGGATTAGATTTTAAATGGTGAAGATACTCTAATATGTTTCTGTTTCGTAGGCTGAAAAGATGATAATAAGGCTAAGAGAAGAGAGCAGAAGTACCACCCAGGAGCGGGATAAGCTACAGCAAGAAATGGTTTGTCTTGAACTTCATCGATATTTATATTGCCATCTGGAAAATGTAGAACAACTATATATACTTGCTTAAAAGAAAGAGTATTCAAGCATAGGGTTTTTAGCTTGGCTGATAAATAAGAAGCATGAAAAAGCTAAACGCCTTTTAGCCACAACCCCCTTCCCAATTCCCACCTGTTATTGTTTGGCCTGAAATTTGTAGGTGCAAACTAACACATTTATAGACACAATGAATGAAAGAGGTTGCATTTTCTAGTCAGATCCGCACTGCAATGCATCATGCCGTTAACTGGTTCTGGTAGATTCTCCGTGCCATGTTTCTGCTGGAGGTATTTGTACCAGATGCTGGAGGAGCCATCCATCCGGAATTTCATTTACTAAATGGTCCCCATATATCCAAACAAAAAAAAGTCCCCTGATAGAATCTGAACTAAAATTTATTGATGCATTCATTTCCCAATTTATGCGTTTAGATCTGGAGGATCTGACTGATAAGTCACCTGATATCTTATCCATGTTTGATACTGAGTACTGAAGATATCTGAACTATCATATTAACCTAATGGGTGCTGCAAACTTCTCACTGTCGAACTACTCTTTTACCATCATTGAATTTGCTTTGATTTAGACTTTAGTTATTACAAATCGGTATATTATCTCTAATATGATGCATGGTTTGTCCAGGTATTCCTAAGAAAGAAGGGAACCCCAAGGAGTCAAGTGGGTTTCCCCTTGCTCTTTGTGGTGTACGTGGCGCTTCTTGGTACCTCACTCGGTTACCTGCTCCGCCTATGAGTTCCGAACTCTAAAAAAAGTTCAGCAGATGGGATGCTTCATATGTGGCAAGAGAATCGAACGGCAGTTGCACTCTAAAATGTTGGAGAGATGAATTTATTAGCATTATTAGTTCAGAACATCATATGGTTTTGCACATAACAGCAGTGCTAAACTACCAGTTGCCTGTATGTATAGAACAGTTTTTTCGCGTTGTATAGAACCCACCCAAAAGATGCCTGCTGCCTTGTAGTCTAACCTGGGATTCTTCCATCCGCCGAAGCTTTTCTTTTGACAGTTTGCTGGATTCGCTTGTCCTGAATCGGTATTGATCTGTTGTGACTATTTACACCTGGTTTAGTTCCAGTTATTGATTTTGTGTAGTTAATTAACTAGAGTCTAATATCCTTCTGGCCTATAGAGGCACTCAGTGTATTGAAAATCCAAGAAAGTCACGAATCGCGACCGTTTAGTTCGTGTCAAGATACCAAGATGTAGTAAGAGCCAGCCTGATTGGATTTTCAACAGTCTTCATCATATATAATACGGAGTACAACGAAAAGTAGGGAGCATACAAAGGATGGGCACGCACAGCGGCCTGCAAACGGAAATACATTCAACCTGATGGGCTCTGCAGAGGACCACGGGGTACAGCACTACTGCAAGCTATACATTATTTCACGTGGAGGATCTGATCAGGAATCGGCATCAGAATTCAGAAGGGCGGCGGCCCGCCGGGGCCGGGGTGTCCGAGGAACGGCGGGCAGCAGTCCTGCAGCAAGCAGCAGCAGCAGAGAGCGTAGAAGCTGCACAGCAGTACAAGAACCATAGCCCATCAGGGTCCTAAAATTTTTCAGGCTAACACGAGCCAAAAAAAAACTAAACGAGAGATGCTGAGAATCTTATATAATATACACTAAAGCATTGAGCAGCATCTGATTGGGCAGTTCTGTTCGGTCTACAAATGCAAGGATTGGAATGGTATTAGCTACAGTAGTTAAATATTCAGCTCACCAAGATCCCATGAAGCCTCCAAAGCCAGGTCCCCAGAAACCAGGTCCACCAGGCAGTCCACCAGGCAGCGGCCCCCAGCCTGCAGGGCCTCCTCCAGGTGGGCCCCACCCTGGGCCTCCCGGTCCATGAGGACCCATCTCGACCGCCCACGAAGACAGGAAGCTGCCTAACCACACAGTCCACAGCTGCACAAAAACTCAGCCCAGGCCACAAAATTTTGAAGAGTGTGAACCAGTGCAGGTGAGTGTATGGACTGATGTGATGCAGTGCTAGCTCAAGGTGAAGGATTTTATAGACCGGCGATCAAGATTCAGGACTGGCAGCTGTGCATGCACCTGCCGTTCAATAGCAGCTCCATCTCATCTCATCTCATCCTCTGGTCTCTAACTCAACCACTGTTCTTTAATTAGTGTTTCATTCTAGGGAAGTGTTTTGCACTCTTAAGCTTGGTTCACTACATGACTAATTGCGCCTCAGTTGTCGCCGGTATTGTGTGATCTACAAAAACATGGTGATGTTGCCTCTACCCGGTCAACATTTGTATCAAAGCTGTCAGCATATTAGGAGTAGTAGGGGAGGGGAGACAATGAAGCACCTGAATAGTTCCCTTCCTTCTTGGATCAGCAAGGATAGCAACGGACCGGCCAGCCGAGCCCAATGATCACAGCCAGCAGGCACAAAGTTAGTTTTTTTTTTAAATCTATAAACGAAGCAAATTTTACAGCAATGACGCGCCGCAATTAGACAACTAGCACACCTGTCGCAACCCCTTCAACAAAAACTTTTGTTTGGTTACGGTTTCCCTAAATTTGTCACATCATGCATGCATGCGTTTTCCCCACAAGACTTGTCCATTCATGCATGCACGTGGCATACAAGACCCTAATTAATCTCCTGCGACTTCTCCTTGCCTCAAATCCCAGACCCCCATATTGGTTCCTCGTCCTCTCGTTGCATTTTGCATCGCCGACGCTCTCTCTCCTCTCCTCCTTTGAGCCACCATGGGCTGCGGTGGCTCCAAAGAAGCGGTGGCCACCGGCAACTCCGGCAGCAGCAGATGCAACCGATTCAAGAGGAAATCCAGCGTCGTCGACGCCACCCAGCCATCGTCTCGTGTGCTTCAGCCATCCAACAACACCTCCACCGCCGCTGCGAAGGCCAATGGCGAGGTGATCGCTGAGATGAAGGACAAGGCAGCCAGATTGAAAGAGAGAGCCATTGGGGAGAAGAAAGAGGAAGGGATCAACAACAAGGCCGAACAGGTCGTGAAGGACAACAAAGAAGCTGTCACTGAGAAGGAAGGCAACGCGATCTCGAAGGCGAATGCCATCGGGGAGGAGAAACAGGTCGAGATAAAGAAGGATGAAGCAGTCGTCACGGATGCTAGAGAAGTGGTCACCGTTGAAAAGGGCAAAGAAGCATTGACCGATAAGGCTGCCAAGGAGAAGAAAGATGAGGTCGTCAAGGACAAAGCAGTGGTCGCCGATCAGAAGGCTGGCATGTCATCAACTGAGGATGTGAATATCATTACCGAGGAGAAAGAAGAAGATATCAAGAAGGATGGTGTGCTCAAAATATCGACTAAGGCAGCCGTTGAGAAGGAAAATGGGGGTGACAATAAAGACATGGCAACCGAGGAGAATGATGAGGCTGCATCGACCGAGAACGGCAATGTTGAGGAGAACAAGGAGGATGACAGTGTCACCTTCCCGGTTGCCATGGTGACAGAGGAGGATGGCAGCATCACCTTCGCAATACCAGATGACGCCGAGGCCAAGGACGATGAAAGTGTTACCTTCGCAAGTGCCCCCACAACCAGCAACATGGTTGCCATGGTGACCGAGGAGGATCGAAGTGTCACATTTGCAGTACCAGTTTCCCCTGTGACCAAGGATGATGAGAGTGTTACCTCTGCAGCTGCCCCAGCAACCAAGGACCACGACATCGTTGCCATGGTGACTGAGGAGGATGGCAGTGTCACCTTCGCAAAACCATTGGCCCCTGTGACCAAGGATGGTCACAGTATTAACTTTGTGGCTACCCCTGCGACCAAGGATGATGATAGTGTTGCCTCTGCAGCTTCCCCGACGACCAAGGACAACGAAATTCTCAGCTTACAGGCTGCCCAAGAGGAGGAGGAGGAAGAGGAGAAGGAGGTAGAAGAGAAACCTGAGCCTTCTGAGGACAATGAGGAGGTGGAAAATGAGGCAGAGCTGGCAGAGCCTACTGTTTCTGAAGATGAGGAGGCCATGACCGAAGCTGATGGTGCAACAAAAGCTGAGGAGGAGGCAGCAGGACAGTCTGAACCTTCTGAAGATAATGAGGTAACCAATGAGGCAGATCTGCCAGATGCTACTGCTGTTGAGCAGGTGCTAACCAAAGTTATTGAGGAATTCAAAGTGGAGGAGGGGAGGGTGGACACAGTAGGCGAGAACACGGTTGAGGAGGAAGACGAGAGTGTCTCCAAAGAGCCAGATGAGGGGAAATCCATTGCACCTTTGAGAGACGAGGATGGTAGGTTGAATTTTCTTATTGTTAACTGTGCCATTCTATATATTAAACCACACATTTCTTCTATTTTGGCATGAACTCACGATAATTGATCAGGCCAAAGTAATAAGTCTTCTGCTGCTATCCTTAATTTACAATCGTTTTGTTGCTGACACCATCACTCCCTACATGCAAGCAATTATATAATTCTGCTCTAGAGTTACCATCATGTACCGAACTAAGTACTGGCATAAAAACCATTTGTCCCATGTGCAGGGGAATCAGACGGGAAAGAACCCATTGGTTTGAAGGAGGCCAGAACCACCGAGGAAAAGACATTGGACTCGGATATCCCAGAGAAGAAGAGCGATAATGAAAAGGATGCTGCTCTAAGTGCGTCGTCTTTTTGAGCCCAGAGAAGGAGAACAATAATGAAAAGGCTGCTGCTCTAAGTGCATCTTTCTTTTTGAACTGAAAATGATGTACCATACCAGATAACATGTATGCGTCATTGAATGTTCAACATGCTCTGTTCCTTTTAGTCAAAGAGGTTGTGCATGCATGTGTGTTCTATATGTGCTTCTTACTGCTGCATACTTACAGAATTGATAGAGTGACTGTCATTCTGTGTAATACAGCATTAAGGTATCTGTCTAGAAATACCATTTTAGGCAAATCTATACTGACCATGTGGTTTCAATGTAGTTGGTAGGTAGTTTTTGATGAGTTTGTTGCATTATTCAAAATCAAGGACATATAGAACAACAAACGAAGTCAGCATGTCCTTTTCTAGACAGGTTGTCTTGTCTTTATTCAAAAAATTATATACAAATGCTAATAGCAAAATGATGCATCAAGAGTTGGGTAGACATTTTTGAAAGTCATTATCAACATGAGGAAGGGTACTTGATTGTAGTTAGTATTCTACTCCCTCTGTTCCAAATTATAAATCGGTTTGGCTTTTCTACATCCATAGTTTTTACTATGTATCTAGACTTACAATTTGGAATGGAGGGAGAGTATGATATGATACAGTTCGCAAAAAAAGACATGATATGATACAGTCGAAACAGCTGGGTAGGTCTCTTAATTAAAGTACAAATGATGTGCTTACCAGAATTCAAGTTGATGTTGATGGCCCACCAGCCACAATATAATTTGCTATTGACAGATCTGACTGTGTCCTGTGAATGAAGCAAATTTGAGGAATAAAACCATACGCGCAACACTGGAAAAAGAAAGCAAATTATTGAAGACATCATGGCCTTAAACTTCCGCCAGTATCAGCACATGCTACCAATGTTGATTGTGGTACCAATATAATCAAATTAACACTTGATAATGAAAGTGCAGGTCAGAAGAATATTAATTTGACCAGGATATACTGAAAGGAAAAGCAGTAAGCTGATGCCAATTAGATCATATAACATTCCTACTGATGTGCCTGTAGCCCTGTAACAAACTTTATCCTGATTGGGTGGTAGTGGTACTAGTTGGTGTGGAATTGATTGGTTGAGTGAGTTGTCTCATCTTCAACCAGAAGGACGAAGACGAAAACTAAACTACAACATGGAAAAGTGGACAGTGATGCCTCAACAACTAGCCCCACACAGACACAAAACAAAGCCCGAAAGCAAAGAAGATTCATATCAAACATACCATAGAATAGAAAGACCTTCCATCCACAGTCGTTGACATAAAGAAATTCAACAGCCAAGAAGTCCTTAATTGCCCCCCCTCGCCTCCTTCATCCCCATCCTACCAAAAACTCATCGCTCCTCCCTTTGTAACAGCTAACATGGGCAAGCTGTGTTGCAGCCAGGAAGATGATGAGCCGGCGTTCAACCTTCTGGGGCTGCTTGTCACCGTCGTCCTCGCCTTGCTGCTGCTGATGCTGTGCACACCTCCCCGGCGCAGGCGCTGCGTCGCCTACTACCCTTACTGCTAGGATGGGGCCATGCCTTCGAGCTTCAAGGTAGGGAGGATCATCTTCTGAGGTGTGCTGGGGTGAATAGGAGATGAGCACCGAGCTAGGCATCGATATTGATTTTAGTCAAGTTCAAATTATGAAATAAATAAATTATGCTGAGTTGTAAAGCATTCTATTATTATCAATGTGCCTACTGCAAAAGGTTGATCTGTAACCTGATCCGAAAGTTATTGCTAAATTGACTACTGAAATTTGTTGATTTCGTATTTGAGTTGCCTTCTGCAAGATCTATTTGTGTCCAATATTCTGTCAAATCAGGGAAGAGAACTTAAGGCACCAAAATCCATCGCATCTTCACAAAACCTTTTGAGCATAGGATTTTGTGTACAATTTTGAAGGGGTGAGTGTGTGTAGTTCGTCTCGGTTCATGAATTGCATGATCAGTCTGTGCTACATCTTTTTTTGAGGTTCAGTCTGTGCTACTTTAGTGTCAAAAGGAAGGAAACAAAAACTTATACTAGCATGATCCGATGATGCAAGAGTCAACAATTACTTATGTGTCGTGATAAACACAGATCTATTTTATATATAAGAGAGAAAAATATTGGAGAAGAAAAATCATGGTTCAAGCATTGAGGTGGGGACAAATAAAGTAGTCCAAAGCAGCCAAACGTAGCATCACCTGGGGAAACCAATGGTCCACGAACTCGCCCTCCGATCTAATCCCCATATCCCTCCACCTTGTGATCCTCCAATCCGCAGCAATCCACACGAACACTTTCTTCCTCCTTGTTTACCCCCCTTTCTCTGAGGTGGTAGCGCCGTGGCGGGTTAGCCGCCTTGATATGATGATATCCATGATGAGAGACTTGTAGGAACCCGGCTGGGAAGGGGAGGGAGAGCAGGAGGAGGAATGGGAGCCCACTCGCCGCGACGGGAGCTGCCGTCGCCGTCGCCGTCGCCGTCGCCGGACGAGAAGGGAGCATCAGCCATGGGGAAGAGTGCGGGGAAGCACTATTTCGCAATCTGTTATACTTTTCCAGGGAGTTTTGTGCAAAAAAAATCATATTGTTCCCAATTGCAATTAAAAATCGTGATCATTCATTACGGTGCTTAAGTGGAATAATATCGGTCGTGGTTTTTATTTGCAAGTCCATTTTAGGATATTTCATATATAAATATACTCCGAGAATATTAGTTGCGATCTATTTTGGGGAGTTTTAGTAAAGTGTCTCGCATGACGAGTAATAATCTGATTCATTTAAATGTTTTTTCTATAAAAACCAAAAATGTTGACTACTGAAAATGAGAGTCAAGTCCACCAATAGAAGAGGTCAACCTAAGCCAAGTCGCACTAATTTATTATGTTGCATCTCCAAAGCATTTGTTGCTAACTTGATGAAAAATGTTGATTTGTGTAGAGTGAGGTTAGCTAGTTAGGTTGAGGATGTTCGGTTCTGTTAAAGGTGTGAGCTATGGTTATGGTTGCAATGCCCTCAGTATTTAATTGTGTGAGTGGTTAGTAGCGTATAGCTTTACTAGAAGTAAACAAGGTCGTTATTTAAGATGGAATTTGTTTATCTAGATTTTAAGTTCTCGTATTTTTCTAAGATGTGCTTAATTTTTTCGATGTGCTTATAGGAATAGAGTAGGTGAGGTCTAATGAATTCTATGTGCACGCTTCTTTTGTTGTTGAAATCATATAAAAGAGGACTGAAGGAGCAGGTCCTCCTCATGTCATAACAAAGTTTATGTCAAAGTCCGATCAGCTCATCTCATGCTATGTCTAAGCAAACCATCCGATAATTCGAATTTGACCTTTTTACCTGTATTGTATGACGCTAAACCAAACTTTCATTTCTTCTATGCCGCCGACTCTATTTGGGTATTCTGTTTGTTTCCCCACTTATAGATACGCGAAATGTCTATTTTGCCCGAGACCGAGGCAAAACTCCCGACCGAGACGTGATAAAAAAAAACTCCCGATTGAGACCAAGCGAGCGAGCGAATGGGGAGGGCGCCGCCGCTGGGATCTCTCCCGCCTGATCCAGCTCCGCCCGGACCCACTCCCACCCTCGGGCGCCATGGTGTGTAGAGCGAGGCGGCGCCACTCGGTGGTGGAGCTGCCATGGCGGCGGGTCCGGGTCGGGCCACCCGGCCCGCCATGCACACCTCCAATGACAATGAGCAGCAGCGCCCATCCCAAGATCGGATCTGCGCGTCAGCAGAGACCAGCCAGTCTGGGCGGTCATGGCGAAGTTCGTCCGGAGACGAGGCCGTATCGGGGGCCCCGCCGGGAAGGGAGCTTAGCCGGTGGCGGTGAGCCTGTACAGTGCAGTAGGGGAGGCCCCGCGTGGATGGCAAGTGCGGCCGCGCGTCCAAATAGGAGCAGCAACGAGCTTGCATCAGCGACAGCCGCAGGCTTATTTTCGATTTGGTGGTGATGCGTTTGATTAGAGTCAATTTCATGATCTTGTATTAGATTTGAGAACAATGATGTTTTTTAACAAGACTCTGCATTTGCTGAAATTTTTTATATGAATAAAAGTTCAGTTCACCATGACTTCAGATCACAATGTATTTGTCTTGATTCCCTATAATTTCAATACATGGAGCATTAGCTCAAATTCATGAAAGATCAAATTGCAGGACCTGTATTTTATTTTATTTTTTTACCAGGAGTAAAATAGTCATTTTACCCTTAACTTAACCCCATCAAGTGATAAAAACAGATACAAGGCCATATAAGGAAGGGAATTTTGGACTGGGACCAAGTTAAAAAAAAAAGAGATGTATTTTTTTCAGCACCATATAAAAAGCTCTTCGAATTTCAGACGTCACTTTCAGCCAGCGGTCCATGTCTCTAATGGGCCGATGCGGTGGTGCGAAGGCTGTTCTGAGCTGGCCCACCACACTGGACACGCTGGGCCGTTGCCACTGTCTGCCTGTGAAAGGCTGATGGGCTCTCTGGCCTGTAGGGGATCAGATCTTTGGAGCCCGACCACTTTTCCCTCGGGCTGCTCTTCTAGGTCCAACGGTCCAGCCCACCAAGAACTTATGTCCACGTGACAGGAATTTCCATGCCCATATCAGTGTTTTGTTTTTAGCGACGATTTAGCATATCATTTTCTATATGTAATTAGACCTGTTTGATCCACCGGCTAAATTTTAGTTAGGCTGGATCTAAACAGTTCATTCCATTAGCGGCTAAAAGATCTCTCAGCTAATGGGAACTAGATAATCCCAGTAGATGTTCCAGCCCAGTTAAAGAGTTAAAACCGACGAAAGATGAAAATACCCTTCCGCAAAAACGCCCTCGACCGCGTGCTCCGGACACGTCCCCTTCCGCATCCACAACCGCACTCGTGCCAGTCTTCTTCTCCGCCGTACCCACTGTCTGTGAAAAGGCTGATGTGCTCTCTGGTGTGTAGGTAGGCAAATTTGGGACCAGATCTTTGGAGCCCTACCACCTTTCCCTCG